AATTGCATTCTCTCTCTCTTCTCCAAACAGATTTCAGCTGTGGCCTCTAGCAGAATACAAGGAACATTTAACAGGGAATTAACAAAATCATAGCTAATTGTGATACTGAAACATATGATCTCTGTCTCTCTGTGAACAGTGCATCTGAAAGAAACATTCTTTTTTCATTATTATTTTTAATTCTGAACTGAAGTGGGTGCTCTTGGATATTGCTGCTATTCAGTTTCCTTGAACAGAGATATTTTGTGTTAGAGGCAACTTAGAACCTTATTTATGAAAACTTAACTAGTCAGGAGGAGGTCTGTATTATGGCACTTTCCCCTCCAGCTATTTCCATCCCTGTATTTGCTTTAATGCATTTTTCCATTGTTTGGATTGTATTATACTTAATATTCATAGCATGGCTGTATCCTGTACTGTGAATATGTCGCAGTAACAACAGCATGTTAGTACCCCAATACTTGTCAAATAATTTCCACCTCACTCTTTTCCATCTGAACTTCATTATCTGTTTCATGCAGGAAAACTATTCTACTCTGAGTAAAGAGATTGAAGTGGGGGTGGTACAATCATGTCCTCCTCTTTGTAACCTCCCTTGAGGGGCTCCAACACCTGTTGAAAAGCATGAGGAAATGGAAGTTTGCAGTATATCTGTAACACTCTCCAACTGTTTTCAACATAAGAGAAGAATGTTCTGACTGATAGACAAGCAGTCAGTTCAGGGTCAGAGTCAGGACTAAAAATCATACTGGGGTTTATAACCAGATGGACTAAGTTATGGAAATTCCGAATATTCTACATTCTGCATTAGCTCAGGACATTCAAAAGAATTATGTGATATGAGTGAATGAGGTTTCTATCCTAAGTCAAATACTCATTTTTAAATATCACTGCCTATATGCTTTACACATGCCTACACATGCCCACAGAAGCTGCCTGTGCTTGCAAGCATTGTGTACCATATTATTCACAATATTATTTGCACAGAAGACCCCAGTGCATTTCTTTAAGCAAAGCAATCAGTCTATCTACAATTAGAGTGCAAAGTTACCTGGGAGCTAAATGGAGGAGCTATTTAACAAAATACAGCTACCTTACACAAAAGTATATGACAGTGAATGAAGAATAACAAATGCACCTGAAAATGTAGGAGGAATTTGTAATGTAATTATCAAACTTAAATTTGATCTGCCTCCACAAAGTGAACAGGGAACTGTGAAGGGGGGAAATGTGAATACCAATAGTAACACATTATTCCAGAGCACTATTTTGTTGTGTTTATTTCTTGGCGATTCTGAGGCAAGAGCGCCTGCTTACAGATAGTATAACCAAGGCATCACAGCTTATGAAGTATCCAACAATAATATCATGAAGGAGCACCATCATTTTCAGGTCTGTGATACACATCTTCCACTAGCAGTGCTGATGTTCCTGTGCCTGACAGGTCAGACAGTTAAGTATCTGCCTAGTTCTGATTTCAGCACATTTTAAAATTCTTGGGAGTATTTAATCATAGTGATTGACTTAATGGTCCTTGCCAAGTCACTTTCATCCTTGACTGATACCCAAATGATCAATAAGCTTGACCATGCCAAAAGAGGGGAAAGAGACAAAGGACAGAGGACAAAGTGGAAAAAAAGGAGGGTGAGAAATAAAAAGAATGAGGGAGAGAAAGTAAAACACAAAGAGAGGAAGAAAAACAGCATAAGGGAGAACAAGAAGGAAAGAGAGAAAGAAGAGAAGGGGAGGAATGAAAGAAGAAGTGGAGGGGAGGAAGGAGAGGAGGAGGGAAGAGAGAGAAGGAAAGCAGAAAGGAAAAGTAAGAGGGAGGAAAAAGAGGACACAATATGAAGCACACAGCATAATCTACAGCTTGAACCCAGAATCACTCAGAAGGTTATGGGATGCTATTATTTACCAACAAATCAATCACAAGAAAAATGCAATATTACAGTAGTGGAGGGTTGGGGTAGGGAGTGTTCTATAAAGGAATTCAAATAAGTCCCTAGCATTAATACTACTAAAATGTGTCTAACATTTGCTTTAGTAGCTGAAGTGCTAGTTTTAAGATGCATCTAAATTACTTGGAAACCTAATGGTCTTTGAAAATTAGCAGGAATTTCAACACAAAAAATCCTCAGGCATCCCATTTTTAACTGTAAGTATTTCTTCATTCACGTTTAACATCTAACTGATGAGCCAAAATTTCATTTTCAGAAATAATACAGATAACACACAGCATAAATCTTGCTCGATGTCAAACAGACATGACTTCTAATGCCATTAAAATAAGCCCTCTAAATAAGTCAGGTGTTGAAGTATTGAACAGTACAACACATGAATTAGAAATAATAAGTATGTCTTCAGTATCTATTTCTTATCGTCTACAACTGTATTTACCCAAAGGGGATTTTGAATTTCAGAACTGGAAAGTGTTCTCGAGGGAATAGAGGTAGAATTTTATTCCAGTCACATACAAAACAAGACGAATACTAGAGGCCATCTATGATGTTCTGAAAGCACAGGTCTCCAGTTTTGAATTTCTCTTGAAAAAGAGATTCCAGTTACATGCACTCATACATGCATAAATGTAAATACATGTATACAGTAACGAGATAGATACCAGAATTAATGAATACAGTAGGCAGGTTTAGAACAGAGTGATTTTCACCCATTCCACTTTACCTAAACCAGGAACCACCGAAATTTTGTAAGAAAGCTGATCCTAACATGGCACTGTCTTTAACACCAGCACAAGGTTTACATCACTTGTGTGAACACATTCTTGTTCCGCTGCAGAGGAAGGGAACAGGCCCGCCAAGTTTCAATTACAACAGTCACACTCCAAGACTTATGTGTCTGCAAGAGAAGGCTGTAGACAGTACACAAGGCTGTGAAATATATACCTCTGCTTCTCCCCAGTAAACAAACCGGTATGGATCCGATGGGGCTGGTTAGTGTCAGCACTTGCAGTTATTCTTTTCTCACACCAGCTACATGCAGTTTTACAGTTACAGAGGCGAGTTCAGCCAGCCGTATGCAGAGCCACACTCTGTGAATTGCTGTTGGCCTCACTAAAAGAGGATATGGTTCTAAGTACAGGTGGAAGGAGGGCACACACTGCTCACTCTGATACCCACACGGGAACAGACTTCCGGCTATACAAACTTCCTCTTTTGCACAGTGCTTCGGGAGTAAAGGATGAATCGTTACTTTTTCACGTTTCCTCAATATTATTACTTATGCTGTTGTGATACTACTGCATGTATATATAAGCCATAAAAGTATGGGTTCGTACAAATTCATACATGCGCCTACACTTACACAGAAAGCCTCACATCACATCCACACCACAACTGTTAAGAGTTTCCAACCAGGACACATCTTTCCACAACTGCACTTCACGCACATACAATTCCCACACACACATTGTTCAACATAGGGAAATGCAAACCTCTGTGTGGACACGTCTGGAAAGATCCATGCTTTGCGACTGGTCGCCAAAATTTCCCAGCTCACACACTTGCGTCCATGAGCTCTTCAGACTATACTTATGCGTTCGCACATGGGCACATGTGCACGCATGGATCATATGCACATCCATGCAAACACATGCACGCAGAAACCTCCATGAACGCCTGTGTGAATGCCCGCCCGGCACACACACATGCAAGACAAAAGCATGTCACAGAGGCACAGACACATGTAAGAACACATATATACACACACAAAATATACGTATATGCAGATGCAGTGGAAACGATCCATGCACACTGTCTCTCCCACACACACGAAACACGTGTGTGCACACACCTGCCCTCACACGCACAGCATCACACACCCCCATGCACACACACAGAGGCACACGCACATCACACACCACACGTGTGCACGCGCTCAGCACGGCAGCGCACGCGAGCACGCGCGCACACACACACACACGTATGCTCACACAGACACACGTGCCAGCACAAAACCCTCACAGGCACACGCGCACCCAAACACACACTGCCGCCCCCAGGAAACCTCCCCCGCATGCACCGACAGGCGATGCCCTGGCGGATGCACCCGCACCACGAGGCCCGGCACGGCGCACATCCCCTCAGGCACAGAAACGCACCAGCACCGCCCCCGCACACGCGGGACAACACCCCCGCACTGCCGCCCACGTGCGCGCCCCCGCACGCCCCCGCACCGCAGCCGGTGCCTGCCCGCCCCCTCCTCAGTGCAGGAAGCCGCCGCCCGCGGCCCTGGCGCGGTGTTTGGGCGGGTAGAGCAGAGCAGGGCAGGGCAGAGCAGAGCAGAGCAGGGCAGGGCAGGGCAGAGCAGGGCAGGGCAGGGCAGGGCAGGGCAGGGCAGCCCCGCCCCGGTGCGGGAGCCGATCCGGGTCCCCTCAGCGCCCCCCGCCGGGCCCCCCCCGAGCGGCGCCCCCTCCCCCGCGGAGCGGCGCGCCCCGGCGGCGCGGCCGGCAGGTGGCGCCATCGCTCTTCTGGTGGAGCCGCGGCCGCACCGCCCCCGCTCCCCGAA